TGTGGGCCCCGCGCCTCCAGGACCTGGCAGATGTCCTGCTGGCGTTGCTTTAGGCTGGAGTTCCGTCCGTTGGCGACCTGCCCCACGGGATTGCCGACGACCGCTGCGACCACCAGGACCAGGAAGGGCCAGGAGGGCGTGTGCATCAGGGTCCGTTGGGGTTTCAGCTTTCCACTCCTGGCAGTGCTTGCAGTACTCGAAAGAGACCAAGTTCTTTTTGCAGTCACAGAAGGCGCACACCCACTTGGGGCCTGCGTCTGCGCCTTTGCCTCCACCGCGTGATGTTGACCGCCGAGGAGGTCTGGCCCTGTGCCCTCGGTCTTGGCCGCTGTCCCACCAAGGAGGTCCTTGGCGCCAAGGCGGCCCCATGGCGAGAGTGAGCGAAGAATGGTTGTCGTGATCTTTTGGTGCCGTCCGAAACGGTCACCTCCGTACCTACTGGATATGGATGTGACAGCAGTCGCTGCACGATGAAGATGGAAGGGGTCTGCTCCCGAGGCTATGCCGCCTACCTGAGAGCAGCCCGAGGGCGCAACGGGTTGACTCAACCACCTTGAGGTTATGGATATGGATTACTTGAGCCCAAATGGCTTGAGCCAAAATGGCTTGTGCCAAAATGGCTTGAGCCAAAATGGCTATGGACCCTGCTCCTCCGGCTTGAGCCAAAATGGCTATGGACCCTGCTCCTCCTCCTCCTCCTGCTCCTCCTCCTCCTGCTGCTCCTCCTGCTGCTCCTCCTCCCTCCTCCTCCTCCTTCTCCTCCTTCTCCTCCCTCCTAACCCCCTGTCGACCCACGCGCGGCGTCGCTGGGGACTTCGGCCTGTCGGGGGATGCCAGCCGACCGCCTCACCGCTGCCAGCGGGGCCCCATCCTGGACCCAGGATGGGGCCATAGTAGCAGCAGTGAGCCCCCCCCCGAGTCAGGCCAGACGCCGCGTGATCAGAGGGAATGAGCGAGCGAGCCCTGCGGGAGCCAGTCTGGGCACAGTTCGAGGAAGCAACAACTTTGCTGAATGAGGAAACGTGCCCCACTTGAAATTCCAAGCTTAGAGACTCGGTTTCGGCCCTGAAGGGAAAGCGGGGTACCAGGATGGCGAGGAAGAGGATGAACCAGGGAGGGATGCTTCCCCGCTCACTCCCCTAAGCAGGATGCGAAGAACCCTCGGTTCTGATTTTCGGCTCTGACTATTCAGCCCACCTCTCCTCCTCCCCTGAGATCCGACGGCGCGAAACAAGTGAGCGTTTTTAATTCAGCGTTTCGACATTGGGCGGAAGGGGGGGAGGAGGGGGTCTGGCTCCGAACCTCTGCTTAATGCGACTGTTTGAAACCGACCGTGCGTCCTATGGGAGTGACTCCACCTGCTCGAAACAGTCGCCCTAAATCAGCCAAGATCTACTCCATCGGGGGGGGAGGGGGGGTGCGAGGACCCACGCCGATCGACAACACAATGAATAAAAAACGATAACTAATTGCACCACCGTGAAAGATCACGACTGGAACCCTGGACTCCATCTCTCTCTGCGCCATTTTTCGAACTGGAACGAGATGACGTGAGGGCCCCGGTGCCCAAGACCAGGCGACAACGCTGGGCGCGCGAACAAAAAAAAGACCCAAAGAGAGCACTCTTCATTCGCGGCCATACAGCGGAGGCCAGTCCACAAGAAACCCTCCAAAAAAAAAGCCCAACCCTGAGACCCAGGACGTCCATGGATTTTTGGTGTGGGAGCGTCACGCTTTCCATGGCAAAACAATCGAAACACAAGAAACCCAGGGCACCCTGGAGGCAAGCAAGGTGCTTCTTGGCATGGGCCTCCACTGTAACCCTGGTTATCCGGGGGAATTTCGATAACCTGGCCTTTCCGCTTCGAGTCTGCCCGCGCGCACCAACGCTGCGCACCCCCTCTGGACCTCCGCCACCGGCAGGGTCAAGCTACCCCAGGGGGTGGGGGAAGGGGGGGGTGCGGGCCCGATGATCTGGGTCTTCACCCTCCCTTCTCACTGTACCGACCTTGCAGTCGTGCTGTAGCGGATTTTTGCGTGGATCTCTGCTAAGGCAACACCCCGAAAGGGCGAGAGAAAAACGACGTGAATTTCACGTAGATGTTTTGTAGTCTTCATTCCTGGCCAAAACAAAATCCGCGCGACATTCACTTCGCAATGTTTTCCGCAAGAAATCCGCTCTGCGATGTTGGCGCCGTCACCCTTCTGCAGCCCTGTGCGCGGCCCAAGGGGGGGGGGGGGGCCGGAGACGCCTTGAAGTAAGACGAGGCGCCCTGAAATCTGGGGAGATATCATGGCCCCCGCCATGATGTCCACCCCCCTCTAGTCTCGGCGGCGAGCGAGGGGGGAAGTCAGAAGGAGAAGGCCTTCTCGGAAGGTTCGGAAGTCCCCCCGCCTTCTGACAAGTTGTCTAAGCCTTCCCCAACGACAAATAACGGAAAAACTCTTGTTCCCGGCAAACTCGACTTTTTCCCGGCAAACTGGACTGTTTCCCGGCGATCCGTTTCAGAAGCATTTAAAGCTTTTGAAAAGCTTTACAGAGTTCCCTCCGACGACGGACCCTGGAACCTCCGACGCGGCCGCCTTGGGGCCTCCTTAGGCCCCCTTGGGGCCTCCTGAGGCCATCTTGGGGCCTCCTGAGGCGCCTCTTGGGGCCTCCTGAGGCCATCTTGGGGCCTCCTTAGGCCCCCTTGGGGCCTCCTGAGGCCATCTTGGGGCATCCTGAGGAGCCGCTTGGGGCCCCCTGAGGCCTTCTTGGGGCCTCCTGAGGAGCCGCTTGGGGCCCCCTGAGGCTGTCTTGCGGTCTCCTGAGGAGCCGCTTGGGGGTCTCCTGAGGCTGTCTTGCGGTCTCCAGAGGAGCCGCTTGGGGCCTCCTGAGGCTGTCTTGCGGTCTCCTGAGGAGCCGCTTGGGGCCTCCTGAGGAGCCGCTTGGGGCCTCCTGCGGCTGCCTTGCGGTCTCCTGAGGAGCCTCTTGGGGTCTCCTGAGGAGCCTCTTGGGGCCTCCTGGGGAGGTATCAGGGTATATGGGGTTATCAGGGTAAGGGGTTACAAGGGTTAGAGGGGTCACAGGGGTTTGGGGGATTAGAGGGGGGGTCAAAGGGGTTAGAGTGGTTAGAGGGGTTACAGTGGTTAGAGTGGCCTTGCGCCATCGCTGCGTGTTTCAGAATGGAGCGGTGGGGAACCGAAAGCGCGAGAATCTCAAATTCTGGACCACTCGAGGCATGTCGGCAGCATGCCTCAAGTGGTACCGAAGAAGTACGTCTTGAGGCATGTCCGTTGTATGCCTCAAGCAGTACCGATCAGGTATCACTTGAGGCATGTCGGCAATATGCCTCAAGTGGTACCCAATGTATGTGTGTCGGGATCTCGTGTTACGCCTTTCGGGGGTCTTTGGGAGGCAGTTTTGAAGCCTCTTGGGGGCCGTTTTAGGGCCTCTGGGAGTTTTTTGGGGGCCTCATGGGGGCTTCTTGGGGGCTGCTTGGGGCTTCTTGGGGGCCTCTTGGGGGCCTCTTGGGGGCCTCTGGGGGCCTCTTGGGGCACTCTTGGGCCCCCCTGGGGCTCCTGGGGGCGGAAAGTTTGATTTTTTGATTTTTTTGTCGCCCTCTTGGACCCCTCTTGGTGCCGTCTTGGAGCCCTCTTGGGCCGTCTTGGAGCCCTCTTGGGCCGTCTTGGGGCCGTCTTGGGCCGTCTTGGGGCCGTCTTGGGGTTCTCTTGGGCCCTCTTGGGGCCGTCTTGGGGGCCTCTTGGGCCGTCTCAGAGCGTCGGGAAGCCGAAAAGGCGAGAAAGCAAACAACATCGAAAAACACAATGGGAAATCAACAATGTTAGCCTCTTGGGGCCCTCTTGGGAGGCCTCTTGGGGGCCTCTTGGGCCGTCTTGGAGGCCTCTTGGCCCGTCTTGGGGCCATCTTGGGCGTCTTGGAGCGCTCTTTGGGCGTCTCGGGCCCCTCTTGGGCCGTCTTGGATGCCTCTTGGGGCCCTCTTGGCACGTCTTGGGGCCTTCGTGGGCCCGAAAAAGTCACGCGGCCAGCTGCGACAAGGCCCAAGGCAGCTGCGACAAGGCCCAAGGGAACCGCGACAAGGCCCGGGAGATTTTGCAATTTGGGCTCTGGTGCCCTTAATGATTCCTCAGGAGCGAGGACTCAGGCTCAGGGGACGAGGCAGAGGACCTCAGGAAACGCCCACTCCGTGCCCAGAGGCACGGTGGCGGATAACCAGTAGTACGTCTACCTGGACGGTTTTTGACATCGCTTACGAATACTTCTGCTTTTACTACCACTAATCTTTCCACTACTACAACTACTATTCGTAATCTCACTATCCTTAATCCAATCACTCCTAGTAGTACTAATCCACTAACCCTACTACTACTACTGCTACTGCTACTACTACTACTACTACTACTACAACAACTACTACTACTACTACTACTATACTACAATACTATTACTACGACGACGACTACTACTACTACTACTACTACTACGACTACGACTACTACTACTACTACTACTACTACTACTACTACTACTACTACTACTACTACTACTACTACTACTACTACTACTACTACTACTATTACTATTACAAACACTGCGAGGAGTAGTGCTACGGCGAAGGCCGCACGACACAAGTCAACCACTGGACTCTTTCCCGGCTAGGATCTGCGCAGCGGGAGTTGGAGACCCTTAAGGTGATAGTGGGATTTTCGGAAATCCATGCTTCAAGCTTCCATACAAAAACTAAGCAAACTGGACTCTTTCCCGGCGGAGCGCCGGGGAAAAGTCTAGTTTGCCGGGAAAAAGCCCAGTTTGCCGGGAAAAAGTGGACAACCGACAAATAACTTCTCAGAAGGCGTCAGGCCTTCTGAGAAGTGCCGCCGCCTTCTGAGAAGGCCTTCTCTTTCTCATTTCCCCCCCTCGCTCGCCGCCGATGGTCATCCCCCCCCCCCCTGCCGCCCCCGACCCTTCTGCAGCCAAAGCGGCGAGAGCGACGACGGGCCTCGACGTCGGGATTGAGGGTCACGCCGGGACCCTCCGCCTCTGGCCACCTATAGCGGGGGGCAAAGGGCCCCGCGGCGTGAGAGGTCGCCGTCCCCTTTGGGTCCTCCCCGTGCTGCCCCGCTCTTTCCTCCTGCAGACCTTGCCTTATGTTGCTCCCATGTAAGGACCACCTCCCAGGAATCATTTCGAGCACCCGAAATACTATCGACACAGTGTCGAACGAGTATCGCCTCCCAGGGCCGGACACGTAAAAACCCTGCGAATTTCGGTACTTTCCTGGTGCTCGAAATTCTTCCTGGTGATCAAGGTGGAAAGCAGGTTGGAACATCATAAATCTTGCCATCGCTCGGACGCACGAGCGTTTTCGCAGTCGGCGTTTCGACAATCGGCGGAAGGGGGGGGAGGGAGGGGGTCTGGCTCCAGACCTCTGCCTAGTGCGACTGTTTGCAACAGGGCGTCCATTGTGGGGGAGACTCCACCTGCCCGGAACAGGCAACCAAAACAGCCAAGATCCACTGCTTGGAGGGGGGGAGGGGGGTGTGCGAGGGCCCGCGCCGATCGGCAAAACAATGAATAAAAGAACGATCACTTGCCATCGCGCGGACGCACATTTCCTGTGCATTGTTCGGTTTCGTGGGCATACTCACTCGCAAAATGATCTCAACTGCTCCTCGATGGTCCTCGCCGAAAGTCATGTATCCGTCCGAGCGGTGCCGCATCACCGCAGTCACCGCCACCACTGCTATCATTAGGTCAGGCATGTGCTCCTACAGGCTGATTTTGGACGAAAAACAGAATAGTCAAAAATCGTACCTGAATTGTTTTTTTACTATTCTTGAATACGCCTGCTGTAGAGGGTCATGCCCGACTTAATGCTATCAACACCTTCGTCATCGCCATCGCCACCCCTCAACATGACCACCACCGCCATCTCGTTTACTGCCACGTCGCAACGTTCGAAGACGAAGAGGGGCAATCGGGGCAGCCGAGCCGGTCGGCCCGTTCTGGAAACTGCCCGAGCCCTATGCAAACGCTTTATCCTCAGGAGCGACCGCGACTGGCCACCCCTCTGGAAGAACAACAGACGGCGTAAACATCATGTCTCGGGAGTCCGCGCGGATTTCGTGGATCCGCGCTGACCCCTCCCTGGCGCGCGCAGCGCGCCAGGGGCGGCGCCAGGGCGGCGCCAGAGGCGCGCGGGACAACACGAGAATCTGGAACTCCTGGGAGCGCGTGGGGAACCGGGGGGGTGGGCCCCCCCTGCCCGGAACAGGTGCAGAATCCCCCCCTGTCGAACCGGGGGGGGGTAAAATCTCCCCCCCCATCCCCCTCCGCGCTCGAACCGAGCGGGGAGGGGGGTAACTCCCCTCCCAGCCTTCAGTTCGGACCAGAGAGGGGGGTGGTTAACTCCCCTCCTCGCCCTCGGTTCGAACGGGACGAGGATTTGGGTGCCCGAAATGGGTACGGACAAATTGATACAATGCCCACCAAGCAATGCTGTCTCACAACAACAGCGGCCGCAGATGGGCAGGCGGCCTTCTGTATCACATGGACACGGGCCACGGCGGCGCAGACAGACGGAGTCCTGTGCAGAATGAGCAATAACTGCTGTTGGGCCATGAGGAGGAGGAAGAGGAGGAGGAGGAGGAGGAGGAGGAGGAGGAGGAGGAGGAGGAGGAGGAGGAGGAGAAGATCGGCAGGAGATCTGCATGAGGGGTACGCAGTCGTACTATGTGGCTTTCTAGTGGCTATACACACACTCACGCATGCACGTGCGCATTAGCTCTAGCAATGGCTCGGTTGGCATCCCGCCAATGCAGGGCCTCCTGTACTTAGGAGGAGGAGGACTTCCGTACCCATGTCGTTCGTGCCGAGGGGAGCGGGGGTTCGGGTCGGGGCCAGGGCCGGCCAAAAGGACGGCCCAGGCCAGGGCCCGCTGGGGCCGGGGCCCTGGGCCTGGGCTAGACCCCTGGGGGCTCGGTTTGAGCTTCGTGTGCGCTTTGCTGGAGCTGTGTTGGAGCTTCGTTGGAGCTTTGTTCCAACTCGTGTTCGGCTTTGTTTGAGCTATGGCTGAGCGCTGTTTGAGCAGTGTTTGAGCTTGCCTTGAGCTCGCTTGCGCTTTCTTTGAGCTCTGCGAGAGCTTTGCTTGAGCTGTGTCTGAGCTTTGATTGAGCTGTGCTTGGGCTTTGTTTGAGCATTGATTGAGCTTTATGTGAGCTTTGTTGCAGCTTTGTCTGAGCTTTGTTTGGCCTTTGCTGGAGCTTTGCTGGAGCTGCATTGAAGCTTTGTTCGAACTTGGTTAGAGCTTTGGTTGAGCGTTGTTCGAACTTGATTGCAACTTTGTTTGACTGTTGTTTGGGCTCTGTTGGAGCTTTACTTGAGCTCTTTGTTTGAGCTATGTTTGACCTGTGCTTGAGTTTTGTCAGCTGAGCGTTGTTTGAGCCTTGTTTGAACTTTATTTGATCTTACGACGACGACAAAGACGACGGACACGGCAACGACGACGTCAATAGCGACGCGTGGGCCATTGAATGCAACCTTCACCCGATGATGGGACGAGCTCTGATGGAGTGTTGTTGGAGCTTTGATTGTATCTTGTTTGAGCTTTGTTGGAGATATGTTGGACCTGTTTCGGCCTTGGTTGAGCTTTGTGTAAGCTGTGCTTGAGCTCTGTTCGAGCTATAGTTGAGCTTTCTTTGAGCTTTGTTTGATATGACCTTTGCTTGACCTTTGTCGGAGCTTTGGTTGAGCTTTGTTCTTGATTGTTATTGAAGCTTTGTTGGAGCTGTGGAGCTTGTATTGAGCTGTGCGTGAGCTTTGCTTGAGCTTTGTTTGAGCTTCGTTTGAGATTTGCTTGAGCTTTGTCTGAGCTTTGTTTGATTGAGATTTCTTTGAGCTTTGTTTGAGCTATGTTAGAGCTGTGTTGCTGCTTTGTTTGAGCTTCGGGTGAGCTTTGTTTGAGCGATGATTGAGCGTTGCTTGATTATTATTTGATTATTATTTGAGCTTGCGGCGAAGACAAGAGAAACGGTGACGGTGACGGCGATGGGTGCGCCATTCAGTGCAACCTTCACCCAGTGATGGAACGAGCTTTGTTTGAGCGTTGTCTGAGCGTTGTCTCAACGTTCTTTGATTTGCGTTTGCGCTTACGACGACAACCGAAACTGCGACGGCGACGGCGATGATGACGCCAGGGACACGAAATGCAACCTTCACTCGGCGATGGGACGAATCTTGGGGCACATCTATCACAGCCACCTGGGACGCCATTCGGCCGGGCGAAACATTACATGCACTACTCACTCAATAATGGGGCGTTCAGTCGGGCGGACGGGATATTCAATGCAACCGTCACTCCGTGATGAGACAAGGTCGGAAGAAAATCGACCACATCAACTGAAGTCGCCGGTCGGGTGGGCGGGACATTAACTGAACCCTTCGCTCAGTGATGGGGCGTCATCCTCATCCTCATCATCAGCATCATCATCACCACCACCACCATCACTATCATCATCGAGGGCCCGACCACGAGAGACCTTCCACAAGAGCCTCCCATACAGTTGTGGTTGACCCAAACGGGGGTCCAGCTGAAAGGGGGTCCAGCTGAAAGGGGGTGGTGCAATGGGTGTGGGCAATTTGTTTGCAAATGTATTGCACAGGAGACATGTATTGCATTGTATTGCATCTAACGAGTTGCACGCGAAAATCCAGCAATACAGTTGCGCACCATAATGTCTTGCACGCCCCAAATGTATTGCGACCCCACAAATCTATTGCACCATATCTATTGCACCACCCCCTTGTCGCTGGACCCCCCTTTGGGTCAACTCGAACAGTGGGGGCCGGACCACAAGAGACCTGCCACGAAAACCCCAGAACGTTCACTGGTTTTTGGTGCGGGATCGTCACGCTTCCCATGGCAACATCATAGAAACCCTCGAAGCCCAGGGCCCCCCCGAGGCAAGCGGGATGTTTCTTGGCATGGGCCTCCACTGTACCATCTTGTCGGCTCTTGCGAGCAGACGCTGATCGACGCCAGTCGAAGCCAATCGACGCTAAGTTGACGCTACACGACGCTAAATCGGCGCTACCTCATCGACTCCCAGACGCTGATCGACGCTGAAGAAGGAATGGAGAGGGCATACCTGAAGGAGGCCAGGGACACACAAATGAATACATACAAATCTAAGGATTCCCCATCTGTTCCTATATTTATTGGATTGACTTCCAATGTGTTCCTATATTTTCTGGGGAATCGGCGATGAATTGTGTCTGTGTGTTGTTTCCCTCCTGAACACCAGGCTCCCATCATTTGCTACAGAACCAGTGTATGCTCGGAGCGGCGGGGGGCCCGCCAGGAGGAGCGGGCCGCTGCCGTCTCTGGGGTGGCATGCACCGTGCATTCGAGGCTCCGGGCAGGCGACGACCGAGGGAGGGAGGAGTGCAGTCCAAGCTTAGGTCGGGCATCTCCTCCTACAGGCGGGCGTGTGAGGAAAAGTGTACAACGAATAATCCAAACATACTCAACAATAGCGAAACATGCTCAACACATCGTCCCCAGACTATGTCTTGAACTGTTCTTGAATACTCCTCCAGTAGAGGAACGTGCCCGACTTAAGTCTAAGCATGGCCACGAGAACGCGGGCCAAGAGATGGAGCCCACTCGCCGAGGGCTCACTCCTCCACGGAGGTACCCCAGGCGAAAAACACTCCAAATGGGGAAACTCAGACGCGAAGAACATACGGCAAGTTCGTGCCGTCACGACGCTGGCGTTAGTTTCTGGCACCGCGAAAATCGTTCCACCTAATCGGAGGTTTTTCGATCGCCAGGTCGTTCCATTTTGGACGGATCTGGGCCACAGGCGGCGTTCAACCTTGAAGGGCGGGGTCGCAGCGCGCCGACAAGAGGCGAACCTTCCGAAAAAGTACACCTGCAAAACTAATGCTTTCTTCATCCTCGTGCTGGCTGTAGACCCGTGACGGCGCCTTTCGCCGACATTCATGGAAGCCTGAGGGCACGGCATACCCTCCTCCCCCTCAGCACTTGTCAACGTAACCTGGTGCTCTCTCAATTGGTACCTGTGTACCCCTCCTCCCCCTCCCCTCTCTCCCTCCGCTTATTCTCCCTTCATCCCACCCTCGTTCTGGTCTCATCGTTTCTCCTCCTCCTCCGTCCCACTGCACGGCAATCTCCCTGCTCCTCCCCCTCTACCTCCTCCGCCTCTTCCTCCTCTTCCTCCTCCTCCTCCTCGCCAACTTCTGCTCAGACCTCCAAAATCGCTGCTCCCCCTCTGCCCCGAGTCACTCCTCCATCCACCCTTCTCCAAGAGAAGTGCCCGGAGGTGCAGCAGCGATGGAGATCGCCACCAACTCAGCTTGTCCAGCGGCACGAGCTCGAGACCCCGATACGCCTGGCGCTGCCCCTTCCTCTCCGTCCTCCTACTCACGGTGGCATACAACGACCGTGCGCCGCAGCTCGTGCGGGCCGCCGGTGTGGCACACCGCGGGGAGAAGAGACGGCGCTCGAGCGCGACCTCACGAGGAAAGCTTACGCGCAAATGCCCGCGCACTCGACCCCCTTCTTCTGCTTCTTCTTCTTCTTCTGCTTCTTCTTCTGCTTCTTCCTATCATTCTTATCATTATTCTCATCATTATGATAAGTCTTATTACTATTCTCAGTCTTCTTTTTCCATCGCTCACATGGTGGACGGCGCAGGGCGGACCCAGATGATGCCAGGGCCCCTCCCCGCAACTGTGGACGAGAACGGTGCGGGCGTGCCCGGGCTGCGCTGGGCAGACCGACCACACAGCACGAGGGGAGCAGGACTCCACGGTCAGATCGGGCATGTCCTCCGACAGACGAATTTTGGACGAAAAATGAAATTACCCCAGTGCGACCCTACCTGGAAGTTAGAGCCCCTAGCACAGCAGCATTAGTTGCTATGCTATGCTATGCTGTGCTATGCTATGCTAAGCTATGCTATGTCATGCTGCGCTGTGCTATGCACAGCTATGTTATGCTATGCTATGCTATGCTAAGCTGCGCTGTGCTATGCTATGATATGCTATGCTATGCTATGCTATGCTATGCTATGCTATGCTATGCTATGCTATGCTGCGCTATGCTATGCTATGCAATGCTATGATTGGTTATGTTACGCTATGCTATGCTATGCTAATGCAGCGCAGCGCTGCGCCTAAGCTAAGCTAACCCTCTAGGCAGAACCCATGCTAATTACCCGAACAGAAAACTAAACTTGAACCGAAATGGTTACGGGAGGCAATGCTTGCGGGGGCTCCGGTCCGGCCATCAAGGCTAGCTCGGCATCTGTCGCACATTGTTTTTGCTTTGCCTTTCCTTTGCTTTGCTTTTGCTTTGCTTTGCTTTGCGTTGCTTGTGTTTTGCTTTGCTGTCGCTGCTTGCTTTGCCTTTGCTTTGCTGCTATGCTATGCTATGCTCTGCTCTGCTATGCTATGCTATGCTGCGCTGTGCTATGCTGTGCTGTGCTGTGCTGCGCCATGCTATGCTATGCTGCGCTATGCTATGCTATGCTGGGCTATGCTATGATATGATGTGCTGCGCTATGCTATGCTACGCTATGCTATGCTGTGCTCTGCTATGCTAAAGCTCAGCGAAGCTAAGATGAAGGTAAGCTAAGCTAAGATAAACCTGAGCTAATATGAAGCTAAGCTAAGCTAAGATGAAATAAGCTAAGCTAAGATGAGATAAGAAACGCTATGCTAAGGGGACGTAGCTGGGGGAACCGCGGGGCGGATGCCGGGGGAACCGCCCGGGGCGGGTTCCACTGCCCGGCCCCTTTAAGCAAAGAGAGTAAGAACCCTTCTAGGCAGAGCCTAGGTAGGGAACTAGTCAAAACAATCAACCATAAGAATGATAATAATCATGATAAACATGACAATAATAATGATAATAATAATGATAAACATAAACAACAAATGCTCCCAAAATCATCCAACAAACTATTTTTGGACTACTTTTGAATATTCTTCTGTAGAGGGAAGTGCCCGACTTACCTCTACGGGCGCCCCTCTCGGTGTGCTGGGCCCCCTGGGAGCTCCCGTCCTGGCCTGCCTTCGCATGCCCGGCGGGCACAGACGGGGTTCCCTGGACGCCGAAGATGTCAAAGCACATGTGCCTCGCTTCTCTCCCCGGTCCCGGAGCCTGTCCAGCCCGGGGTGGGCTCTGGCAGGAACTTCTGCAAGGGCGTCCGGCGACGAGGGCGCAAGACGCAAGAGACGAAGCACGTCACATCATCCCCCCCCCTTGTCCTCCTCCTGCTCCTTCCTTCCTCCTCTCCCTCTCTCCTCTTCCTCCTCCCTCCTTCCTTCCTCCTCCCTCCTTCCTTCCTCTTCCCTCCTCCTCCCTCCTCCCTCCTCCCTCCTCCCTCCTCCTCCTCCTCCTCCTCCTCCTCCTCCTCCTCCTCCTCCTCCTCACTTGGCGGCGGGCTGGCCCAAATCAGCGCTGCAGCCCGGGCCAGCCGGGGCCGTGCCGCGAGCCGAGGTCAGCCACGGAGTGCACACCAGGAGCCCGAGCATAGGAAACCTTCCACCAGGATCGAAACGTTGTTTCTCGTGTCGTTTTCGTTTCGTTCTTGGGGGGCGGCCAAGGGGGGGGGGGCTCCAAGAGGAGGGGGCGCAAATCATGGCCAACGGCATGTGCGCGGCCCAGGAGGGGGGACCGGGCCGGAATGCAATTAGAAGAGGCGCCATGAAATCTGAGGAAATATCATGGCCCACGCCATGATATCCACCCCATCCTAGTCATCACCTCTCTCGTTGCCGCCCCCGAGCTTATCGGTATGCTCCACCTGTTTCCCTGCACCTCCCTCCCAAAACGAAAAACAGAACACAGCCAGAATCCAGCAAAACACCGCTTGGGTCCAGCCCTGACATAAACAGAAGCTTTCGCCAGTCCGCGCGGATTCTGGATCCGCGCTGGATCCCCGGAGCGCGCCAGGGGCAGCGCCGGAGGCGCCGCCAGGGGGGCCCAGCGCAGATCCAAGAGATCCGCGCGGACCGCCGAAAATTCATGCTTAAAGTGGAGGCCAGTGCACAAGAAACCTTACACAGGAAACCCAGCCCTGAGACCCCAGGACGTACAATTGGTTTCTGGTGTGGGAACGTGACGCTATCCACAAGAAAACCTTCGAAACCCAAGAAACCCTGGAGGCAAGCAGGGTGCTTCTTGGCATGGGTCTTCACTGCAGTTCCCAAGAAAGGGTCCGCGGAGGGAGCAGGCTCCCGAACCTGGACAAGCCAGAGGGGCCTGGCTGACAGTGGACGACCCCCGTCAGGGCTGAGCCCTTTCACGGCAGGTACGTTTGTGGATGCCATGACACGCTAACTGTTCGACCATTGAATTTAAGTTTCACGTAGAAGTTCCCTACGTTTTTAGCATGTTCGAAACATGCTTGAACATTGATTAGCACTTTAGAAACAATGTTTAAGCATGTTCTAGACATCTGGAAATTATTGGGCAATCTGCCCCCTTTCGATGGGTCGTTTTCCGCAAAGGCACGTGTCATGACCCCGGCGCTGGTCTCTGACACCGCGTGGATCGCTCACCACTGAACCAGTCGGAGGCTTTCCGATCGCCAACTCGTTCCATACTGGCCGATGCTGGGCCACTGGTGTTAGGTCGGGCATGTCCTCCTGCAGGCGGATTTTGGAGGGAAAATCACAAATAGTATCAACAAAACTGAGAAACATGCAAAACATGGTCAACACATCGTCCCCGGACTATTTGGTCTAGAACTGTGTTCGAGCAGTCCTCCTGTAGAAGGGCATGCCCGACCTGATGCTGGTGGCGTCCAATCTTGACTGCCTGCGCTGGGGCTGCCGCCACGTCGACGAGACGCCAACCTGCCGGAATGGGGCCCGCCTCGCGGTGGAGGCGGGTGCGGAGAAGGAGCCTTGCCGCCCTGCCGCAGACGCTGCCTGCGCCCCGCCTCGCGTCGAGGAGGAGGACGACGAGGCGGAGCAGGAGGAAGAGGAGGGGCAACGACCCTGGGGGGAAACCAGCACGGGACGCACAGAGACGTACTGATACTAGATGTCCTCCTGGGAGGCGCGCGTCCGACCCGAACATGTAGTATACCCATCTTGTAGTATTTCGTTACCCGAGCGGTGCGGCCAGAAAGCGCCCGCCACGACGCATAAAATATAAGATTCTCGGTGCGCGCGTCGCCCAAGGAGGCGCGACGCACACGTAGTACTAGAATGTTCGGGTGCCGTCGACAAAAAGTACCGATACCGCTACCCCTGGACCTCTCCTGGGGCGCGTTCTGACCAGGATTTCGAGGCGAATCCAGCGGTTGCGACGAGGGCCTCCCAGGAGGCCCACAAGGGGAAAACGGGTGAGGGGGTAGAGGTATGGGTACCTTTTCCTCCTCCCAGTCCCCAGCCGGTTCGAGAACCCACTGTTCGGAACCCACCTCTCGCGACCTCCGGGCTGCTGCGCCTTCTTGTGCCCAAGCGGCCAGAAGGAACGCGCGCCGTGGTGCCATTCCCGGCCGCCTGCGCGCTGCCAGGGCGGCAGAGGCGCGCCGCTCGGGCAGTCGAGGATGAGGAGGAGGAAGAGGAGGAGGAGGAGGAGGAGGAGGAGAAGAGGAACTGACCTGAGATGCACCTTATGGAGGCCCTGTCCAGGCTGGCGAACGGACTGCCAGAGAAAACTGGACTGTACCTTGAAAGGTTTCCTCAGAAACCAAAGCACTTGCTTTGCGAGACCTCCAGAGGCTCACAACACAGGCTGCACTGGCCGACTGGCGCCCCAAAGGGGCGGAGGCGGAAAAGGAGGAGGAGGAGGAGGAGGAGGAGCGTCGCCGCCCTGGCGACAACGTTACCTGCGCCGCGCCTCGCGTCGAGGAGGAGAAGTAGGAAGAGCGTCGCCGCATGAGGAGGAGGAGGAGGAGGAGGAGGGGGAGGAGGAGGAGGAGGAGCGTCGCCCGCACTCCTGCCCCGGCCTCGGGGGCCCTTGGCTGGCGGCGCGACGCCGCACCAGCAGCCCTGCCGCGGTGGCCGTGAAGCACACAGCAAACGCCACGGCGGCGGCGGCAGCGGCAGCGGCGGCGGCGGCGGCCGCGACGGCAGCCTGGCCGGTGGTGAGCATGAAGCCCACCCCGCACTGGTCCAGGAGAACCGCATCTTCCCGCGGGGCCCAGGGCGGCGGCGGGCGGCGGCGGCGGGCGGCGGCGGCGACTTTGGCGGCGGCATCGGCAAGGATGGCGGCGGCAGCGGCGGCGGCGGCGGCTGCGGCGACGACGACGGCGGCGGAAGCGAGGAAAGGAGGAAATGGAAATGAGAAAGGAAGCTTCAGTCGGTACGTAATTCGGGATGGGATCTGGAGATTTTTGGAGGTCCTAAGGGGGAAAAAACAGACCACCACCACCACCACCACCAGCTGGGGGATGCATGGGTGTGCTGCTTTGCAAGATGCAGGTGTGCAAGATGCCCCTGGGGAGCGCCCACACCGTCAATTACACACCACTACCCCGTAGCACCCGTGACCCCACAGCTGCGACCTCCCGAAAATTATCATACCAAGGATTGGCAGAGGAGGAGACGGACCAACAACGGGTTTCGAGGGGCTCCAGGGGGCCCTGGTTTGGGGAGGACGCCGGCTATCTACACATGCTGAGGCGTGGGGTTGGGATGACACCCCCTTATTCCGCCCCCTCGTCCCCCGCCCCTTCGCCCTCGTCCTCCTCCTCTTCCTCCGTCTCCTCCTCCTCCTCCTCCTCCTCCTCCTCCTCCTGCTTCCTCATCCTACTCCTCCTCCTCCTCCTCCTGCTCCTCCTCCTCCTCCGCCTCCTCCTCCTCCCCCTCCCCCTCCTCCTCCTCTTCCTCCTCCTCCTTCTCCTCCTCCTCCTCCTCCACCACATCCTCCTCCAACTCAAGCAACTCCATGTTGTCCGATTGCGCCCAACTTATTTCTTTGCCTGCAGCGCTAGCGGTCGCCAACGCGTCCGAGAAGCCGAGTGGGCCGCGCCGGGCCATGGGCAAACTGAGGCAGCTGGAGAAGAAGAGGGCGGTCGCAAGAGGAGGAAGCAGGGCGGAGGCCTCAGACGCAGAGGTTCTACTCCTGAAGGAGCGCCGATTGCGCATAACACGAAGGGGTCTTTTTTGAAAGGCTTCCAGGAAGCGCCAAGAAACACCCAAGGCGCCCCCAAGGAACCCTCAAGGTGCGCCCGGGAAGCCCCAAGAGGCCCCCAGGACCCTCCCCACAGGCCCCCAAGAGGCTCCCCAAATGACCCTCCAGAGGCACCCGAGATCGCTCCGAGACCCCAAAAAGCATCCCTGAGGACTGTGACCCACGTCAGCGTCGTCGTCGTCGTCGTCGTCGTCGTCGTCGTCGTGCAGTGTCGGCGGCACCGGCCTTAAGGTCTCTCCAATTCCAGGTCCGCTATGACACGCGTCGGCGGACAGAGAGAACGAATCAGTGCTGCGGGAAAGGATGGTTGGAAGGGGCGGGGTGTCAGATAGAGCGCCAGCGCACCTAGCTTGCCCGACACAATGACAAACCGTGGGGCCCGGGGAGGCTTAAATACCACTCCCCGGGGCCTGCTTTTCTTCCTGAGCCGTCTCTTCACGGTCCCGGGCCGGGTTCCGGTTTCCGGGTTCCAGGATCCGATGTGGACCTGTTCTTTTTGTTTGGTAACATGCCCCCGAGTGGGGGCTTTGGTTGCCTCCACTTCTGGAGGGGCCGCCTTGGGGCTCCTTTGAGGCCTCTTCAGCTGTCTTGGGGCGATCTGGGGGTATTCGGCCATCGTCGCGTGGAATGCACGAAACGGTAAGAACGTCGAAATGCACCACAAACAGAAAAGCAACTCTGTCAATTTCGCCTCTTGGTGCCCTCGTGGTGGTCTTTTCTATTACACATTACGGCTCGTCATCGCCACCAGCTGGCTGAGCCAATGCATCTGCGACAAGGGGGGCGCGGCGATTGTAGCGGCCTGATGCTGGACGAAGAGAGCATAATCATCTAATTCTCACCGACTTCGTCCTCCTCATACTGATCACTCCTCCCGCATCCCACCACCCTACACCACCCTCCAGCCTTGTGCTCCAACCCGTGAGTTGGACAGCGTTGTTCGAGCACGCGAACCCGTAAGGGTGTACAGGCTGGCAGACTGACGGGCGCCGGGCTGCGGAAAAGCTTGATAAAAACGAGTCTCGGCCTGGGCACGCGGGAGACATGGCATGTGTGGCCCTGTCTCAGTCGTGGCATGAAGCACGGGCCCTTGGCGCCTCCTGGCGCGTCTGGCGATCTTAGATTGGATGAATCGTTCTTTATGTGCGAATTCGCAGATACGCCTGAAGCACATCTATTCAGCGAATTCCAATGACCACACCACACCCCCCCCACTCAAATCTAAATTTCAACACGCAAGTGCGCCCGTGGCGTCTAGTGTACGGCTACACCCGGGACCGAGTGCAGAGGACACCCGAGGGGACACGCGACCTGTCTAATGGGCCGGCTCCTGCTCCAGACGCGAAGAAGCCACGAAACGCGAGGGACTGCGTGGCGACAGTGGGCGCTGCGGGTGTTGGCGCAGGCGCCCGCGTCGAGGGAACGCTGGGTCCCCCAGGACTACGACTCGCGGAGGGGCGCAATAGCTTCGGGTCGGGCATGTCCTCCTACAGGCGGAGCTTGAAAGAAAAATTAGAAATAGCTTAAAGAAAGTGCGATTGGGCGGAGTGCTCGCCAGGAGTGAACCCGGCTGGAGCTCCTGCACGCCTTGGGCGAACCTGCAGCGCTTCCTCTTGCACCTTCCAGCGAGGAAGGACCTGCACAGGTGCATGTTGGTGAAATTGGGGAAACCAAACGGTATCGATGCCGCTACTCCCTGGACCTCTCCCGGGATCCGTTCTGACCAGAATTCCGGGGCGAATCCAGCGGTGGGGACGAGGGTCTCCCAGGAGGCCCCAAAAATGGGAGAACTGGCAAAGGGTAGAGGTCGATGTACCTTTTGGAGATCCCAAAACCGTGTGGTGACAGACCGTGCGGTGACCTCGGAACACCAAGAGACCTCACAGCACGGTCTGTCACCGCACGGTCTTGGGACCCTGGAGGCCCCTGTCGCCCGTGACATCCTCGGAGAGGGACTCGAGTCCCAAAGCCGTGCGGTGACCCCGAATCCCCACCGACTCACCACACGGTGTGGTCACCACCCCGTTTGGGAGCCCCCGAACCTTTTCCTCCACTGAGAAATCGGTGGCCGGGACGAGCTCTGACTCCGTGTGGGCAAAATCGCACTTGCGGCCGTGCACAGACTGGCCCTGCGCAGCCGCGCCGTGAGGGGGGGCCGGCCTCACCACGCCCTCGCCGCTGGGCGCCAAATCGCGGGCCATGGATGCTGCGATGCTGTGCAGTAGGGGCCCGACCACAAGAAACCGTCCACAAGAAACCCAACCCTGAGACCCCAGGACGTCCATTGACTTTTAGTGTGGGAACGTCACGCTTTCCATAGCAAAACCATCGAAACCCAAGAAGCCCAGGGCACCCTGGAGGCAAGCAGGGTGCTTCTTGTCATGGGCCTCCACTGCGTGGAAAATGTACAACGTTGTGCCGAAATGTCGGCGGTGTGCTGCGGGGCCAGTCCCTGCGGCCGGCGAGGTGCGTCCGGAGCGGTGTCAAGCCCAGGCGGCCTGAACCGAAATGGCTGCGGACCCTCGTGGGGGTCATCTTGGGCGCCCTCTTGTTCCTCGTGGGGCCCTCTCGAGGCCAGTGGGGTGCCTCTTGGGGGCACTTTTGGGGTTTTTGGGGCCTGTCGAAGTCGACAAGCTCAAAATGTGACAAGTTCAACACGTCAGTTCACGGTCTTCCTCTGTGGCCTCTCTTGCGGCCCTCTTGGGTCTCTCTTTGGCCGTCTTGGGCAACACTTGGGCAGTCCCTGGCCCTCTTGGGCTGTCGTGAGGCCCTGTTGGCAGCATCTTGGCGATGTTGGGGACCCGAACACGAGAATCGGAACACCTGTAAAAAACCAGGGGACAAATATGAATTGGGTTTGTCGGTTTCCAGGGTGGGCCTTGGAGTGCGCTTGGGTCTGTCGTGCGGCGTCCTGGGGGCCTCCGGAGCTGTCTGGAAACTGTCGTGGAGGATTCCGGAGCACGCTTGAGCCGTATCGGAGCTTCGTTCCTCCTTTGTGGCTCCTCTTGGAATCCTTGTGGGGTCCTCTTTGGCCGTCGTGGGTGCCTCTTGGGCCGTCCATCCTTGGAATCCTTGCGGAGCCCTCTTTGGCCGTCTTGGGTGCCTCCTGGGCCGTCCATGTGCCTTCGTGGGCAGTCGTTTGGCCCTCTTGGCAGGCCCTGGGGGGCTTCCAGGTGAGGTGTTGAGAGCCTTTGGAGCTCTTTTCGGCAGTCAGGATCCTGACAGAGAGGGAGGCCAGAACACCCCTCAAGAGCCTGACAACAAACATGCTGGGCCAACTTTCGGCTCGCTGGAGGGGCTCTGGAGCGCTCTTGGTGAGGTCTCGGGGTCTCGAGCCGTCTCCAGCACCGTCTGGAGGCTGTCGTTGAAGGTTCCGGAGCACTCTGGAGCCGTTTCGGAGCTTCGTGCCTCCTCTGCGGTTCCTCCGCGGGCTCTCTTGGGGCCCCCCTTGCGCACATTTGCGCACTGGAATGCATTGCACACCCCAAATCTTCTGCAAGCGCACAAATCAATTGCACCAAATCTATTGCACCATCCCCTTGTCGCTGGACCCCCTTTTGGGTCAACCAAACTTGTGGGACGCACAGGGACACACTGGGTCTATGTGTCATCCTTGGGGGCGTGCGCCCAGCCAGAACATCTAGTAGAACCATCTTGCAACTCATCGTTGTCCGAGCGGCATGGCCAAAGAGCGCCGGCCACAGAGCTTATACTATAAGATTCCTCGGCGCGCGCGTCGCCCCTAAGCAATCCAATCGCGCTGGCCAATCCTGGCGGGACCACTTACAGTACTTACAGGAACCCCCACCCAAGATACCAACATCCTTCAAACACCTGAGGGAACTCAGCGATGTTTGACTTCTCTTCTTTTCGCTCCGAGGGCGCTTATTTGAGGCGCTTCAAGATACGATGGCCCCAAGATGGCCCCTAGAGGCTTCCCGGACACATGTTCTCCTGGCAACGGCAGATGCGTTCAGGGAGCTGTGCACCAGCTTGATATACTATCTACACTAGGAATCCAACTGCCTCCCTCGCGGGGTGAGCTGGCCTTGTACAGTCGGGGCTGACTGGAGAGGACACGCGAGAGGACACAAAAACCTTCCGAGGGCCACATTGCCATAGGAACGTAGAGGGCATGGGCCGCGAGGCACAGGACGCGAAGGTGCTCTTGCTTTGGCAGGGTCGACCTGCTGCGCTGGACTGCGGACTCCGAGGGGCCCTGGGGCCTGCGAGCGCCCAGCGCGGGCTCCAGGGGCCCACGAGGGGCCCAAGAGGCCCGTGGTCGGGCGGGTGGCATCGGGAGGTGGCCTCGCTTTCGGACCCCTGTTGGCTCCAGAACGGGCCCTATTCTTCACCCACCACGCCTCCCATTGCCACGCTACCGACGTGGGCCCGCACCACAAAAGGGCCACTCCGGCGGAGGGTCGCTGTCAATACGCGCAGCCGAATCATAACGACCTATTGCTCCTCGGAGTGGCTCCGCCCAGGTCTGAATGGCACCCCGGCTAAGACGAAGCCAGGGCGAGGATGTAATCATTCGGGTGGGGATAAAGGGAGGATCTCTGAGATCGCCGCAGAAGATGTTGCGCGCAGCCGAACCATGACCTCTTGCTCCTCGGAGTGGCGTAGCCCAGATCTGAATGGCGCCCTGGCTAAGACGGAGCGAGGGCGAGGGTAGATCCAGGTGAGGACAGAGAAATAGAGAGAGAGAGAGAATCTCTGAGATCGCCGCAGAAGACGCTACGCGTAGCCGAATCATGACCTCTGGCTCCTCTGAGTTGCGTCGCCCAGATCTTAATGGCGCCCTGGCTAAGACAAAGCCAGGGCGAGTATAAATTTGAATTTGGGTGTCGCTGTGTGTGCGGCGACGAGAAATGGGAAGGAGTCGGGCGCATTTTTCGGGCCAAGAGGCCCCCGTTGGGGCCCCCGTTGGGGCCTGGGGCACTGAAGTAGAGGGCCCCGTTCGGGGCCTACAGCCCTCGCTGCCCTCCCATTCATCGCCCCCCCATTGCGCAACGCCCAATGATCCTCTGAGTTGCGTCGCCCGGATCAGAATGGCGCCCTGGCTGAGACGAAGCCAGGACGAGGATCCGTTCGGGCGAGGATGAAGCGAGAATCTGCGAGATCCGGCGGCTCTGGAGGACGTCTCGGGCGCCGCGGCCATCTCAGAGCGGTCCGGAACGCTGTGAGAGCGTCCAGGGACGCTCGCTCGCTGTGGGGCCTCGAAACGTGTGAGGGGTCTGACGCAGGAGGGTTGGAGGACGAGTAGCGATGCTACTGATGGTGGTGGTGGTGACGGTGACGGTGACGGTGACGGTGATGGTGATGGTGATGGTGATACTGATGACGACGACGGCGACGACAATGACGATGACGGTGAGGATGAGGATGGTGATGATGCTGATGACGGTGCTGCTGCCCCAACTCTGCACGGCGCCCAAGCCGCCCGCCTTGCGCGTCGGGCCCGGGCTGCACGCCCTCCTCGGCGTTCCTCGCCTGCGGGGCTGCTGCGCCGCCGAGCGCCGAGAGGAGGCCGGCCGGGCGCCCACCACCCCCGTGGGGGCTCGCGCCGGGGGCTCGGGAGCCCCACGCGACTCGCAGGACGACGACGACCCGAGCACAGGCGAAGAAGAACTGCAGTAGGAGCTCGACCACAAGGAACCCTTCACGGGGGGCGACAACGACGTGGAGGGCATCGGATCTGGAAGTGTAGCTCGCGCTTGGGACAGAGCGGAAGCAAAGGGCCGACTCTGATCGGGCGTTGGCGAGACTGGGTTTCGTGGGACCTGGCTTAGTGATGTGCAGTAGCAGCTCGACCACAAGAAACCTTCCACAAGGAACCCAACCCTGAGACCCAAGGTCGTCCATTCGCGACCACCAGAAAACCATCGAAACCCAAGAAGAAACCCAGGGCACCGTGGAGGTAAGCAGGGTGTTTCTTGGCATGGGTTTCCACTGTAGAGCAACTAATTTCGCGCTTCGCGCTCCGCGACACGCGATTACCTTCGCGCGTTCGCGCCGCTCCCCCCGCCCCCGGAACAGGATGGGGGACTCGCGCCTCGCTATGCAATCGCCCAGTCCGCGAAGCGCGTCTCACCTCGCACCCCGGTGTTTTTTTGTAGTGATTCCAGCTTTCCCAGAATTCCAAACTCTTGGAAACCTGGAATTCGAATTATGGGAAACTTGACATCACCACGAACCCTTCTTTTCAGTGGTTTCAAGCTTCTCATACTTCCGAATTTTGGGAAAACTGGAATCACCACAAACAAATCAATGTTCGTGGTGTTTCCAGGTCTTCCGTAATTCGAACCCCTCATTTGGTGAAACGGGCGGTGGCCGTTTCCCACAATGCGGAAGCCTTCCCGCAAGCCGAATTCAGAACTTCAGGAAACTAGGGGGGAGAGGCCGCTGGGGGCGACGAATTCGAGAGACCTGGAATCACCTCAACAGGGATGGCCTTCGTAGTGATTCCAAGTTTCTCTTTATTCAAAAGTATGGGAAACGTTGAATCAATCGGTAAATCATTTTTCATGTAATGATTCGAAGATTGCCATGATACCGAAGTCGGAGATTGGGGGGTGAGATCGCAGTGGAACGGAGACCCCCAACCGGGAAATCGTATCGTTTCGTTCGTGTCGTGCGTGCGGGCGAGGCGAAGCTGCGCGCGAGAGGAATGAACCCGCCGTTGCTAGGGCGAAGTCAAGACAACTGATTCTCCCCCTCCCGCCCGTCCGGCGGTGGCCCGCGGTGTCCCGTGGTGTCCCATGGTGTCCGCCGTTGCTAGGGCGAAGTCAAGACAAATCATTATCCCCCTCCCGCCCGTCCGGCGGTGTCCCCGAGGTGTCCCGTGGTGTCCCAAAAAGTGAAATCGATAGTGAGATCGATCGTGAGATCCACAGGTGTCCCGTGGTGTCCCGTGGTGTCCTGTTGAGTGAGATCGAGAGTGAGATCGATGTGGTGCACCGAGGAGTCCCGTGGTGTCCCGTTGAGTGAGATCGATAATGAGATCGATAATGAGATCCACAGGTGACCCGTGGTGTCCCGTGATGGCCCGTGGTGTCCCGTTGAGTGATAGTGAGATCGATAGTGAGATCGATAGTGAGATCGATGTGGTGTCCCGAGGTGTCCCGTGGTGTCCCCTAGTGTCCTATAGCGTCCCGTTGTGTGAGATCGATAGTGAGACCGATAGTGAGATCGAGAGGTGTCCCGAGGTGTCCTGTGGTGTCCCGTGGTGTCCCGCTGAGTGAGATCGATAGTGAGATCGAGAAGTGTCCCGTGGTGTCCCGTGGTGTCTCGTTGAATGAGATCGATCGAGTCAGATGTTGGTTCCCGCCCCCCCTCACCCCCACCCCACAACCTCCTTATCATCCGAAGGGTGGTCGTATAGGTCTGGGAAACCTGGGGTTCGAATTATGGGAAATCTGGAGTCACCACAGAAACACACTCTTTTATCGTTGCGATTCCACGTTTAACATAATTCCTAATTGGGAAACCTGGAATCACCACAAAACACCTGTTTTGTGGTGATTCTAGGTTTCCCATGCTTCGGAATGCGGGGAAACCTGGAATCACCACAAAAACACGCTTTGTTGTTGTGAATATAGGCTTCCCATACTTCGATTTTCGCGTTTCGGGTGCCCTGACGGGCGGTAGTTACCACGCCGCGGGCCCCCTGTGTCCCATAATTCACCCTCTTTCTGAGTTGGCGAATTATGGGGAACCCCTACCCGGTCGGCAGCCCACCCCCAAATCGGCACAAAACTTCACCCCCTGACTGTCGAGAGACATACACATTGAACACCAGATCCCGCCCCCTACTCCGCGCCAAAGGCGGTGCGAATGATAAGCGAAGCAAGCGGGTCTGGGCAAACCGATACACGGAAACGCACAAGTACAGTAGCGGCCCGACCACAAGAGACCTTCCACAAGAAACCCAACCCTGAGACCCCAGGACGTCCATCGATTTTTGGTGTGGGAACGTCACGCGCTCCGTCGCAATACCATCGAAACCCAAGAAACCCAGGGCACCCTGGAGGCAAGCAGTGTGTTTCATGGCATGGACCTCCACTGTAAGCCTGTCCGCGCCCCCGAAGAGTATCCTGGACAGGGCGCAGCCGATCCCAAGCAACAAAAGCGCCCGACCGCAGGGGGGGGGGTAGGTCCTGCGCCCTGAGCTCATCGGCCAAGGCTGAAGGCATCGGGTGCATTCGGGCTCCTACCTAGGCGATCAGCCGCACGGTTGCCCCTCCAGGCCCGCCATGCACAATCCTGAATGTTCGCGTTGGCCCAGGACTGGTGGCCGCAAACTTCCTAAACAGTCACCTGGGCCGAACGGTCCTGGGACTTGGCGGACATCTGCCACCAAAGCCCAGAGTGGGCCGAGCCCTCGAGGGGCTGGAGCGGCCCCTGGTCCCAGATGTCGACCACCACCTTGCAGTCGCACGCTACAGTCACGGGCCCCACCCCCATATTCAAGAGCATCAGAAGCGCGAACACGTCTGAACAGCTAACCTTCAGGACGAGGTGGGGGAAAGCCTCACGCGGGGAGCCGTCGACCCACATAGCGGCACACTTGGACCACCGCCCATCCAGCACGCTCAAGGACAGTGTCGCCAGGATGGGGCGCAGATCCGATGGCGTAGAGGGTGTACATGCAAGACTTGAGACGCTTCCAGAGGCCCTCAGAGACCCCCGAGAGGCCCCACGGCACCCCAAAACTGAATCAGAGAGGCTCTCGGGAAGCCTCCAAAGAGATCCCCACGGGCATCCCAGAGGCCTCTGACCTACAACCCAGGCACGGTGACGGATGGGCTGAAGGAACTCTGTATGCACACGCGTGTATAAGACCACGCGCGCTTCGCGCACGATCAGGTTTTAACGCATGACGGGCAAGCGCCCCAGCACAGTGGGTGCACGCATGGACCAAAGCTGGGGGGTTGCTGGGGCCTCTTGTAGACCTCTCGAGGTCCTTCTGAGTGGCTTCGCGGACCTCTGGGGGCAAATCTTTCCACCAATCATGACTCTAAAACCCTGTTTAGAAACAAAAAGTGTGCTCCACGTCAACGGGAGCTGACCTGAAACATAATGGGCGCGCTGTCATGCTGGATGGCGGAGCACGCGCAGGAACAACGAGGAATGACGGAGACCGGAGAACGCAGGAGGCGTGTGACTAACGAGAAAACGGACGAGGTTTGGGCAACTACTCGGAAGCAGTTGCCGACATGGCGTGGAAACAGCAGGCCGAGCGTGCACTTAAAGACGCAGCCGCAAGCCAACTTACATTCATACTTTCGGCGTGCGGCGTCTGCCTCAATACAGTCCCGAAGGGGGTAGCTGCCGCAAGCGAACTGACAAACATAAAACAAGTTTCGACATCTGCCTCAAGCCTCAACATGGCTCAGCGACGCCCATTCCGTGAGGAAAGAGGGGCCACCAGATGGCGACGAACGCAAGGCCCAGTCCGAACCCCCAAATCCGCCACCGTGCCTCTGGCGCGAAGTGGAGCGCCCCAAGGTTCATGCAGCACTGAGAGGTCCGTGCTGCTGCTGCAGCCAGAACTGTACATCTCTAAAGTCCCCGACCAATCGTTTCAAAGGTTTTCCCGGGGTCCGCCGGAATCGCTCGCGTCGGCCTACAACGCCCAAGAGGGCCCCCAAACAAGCCCAGATGGCTCCAAGAGGCCCCAAATTGTCAAAAAGGGCCCCAAGTCGCCCCAAGATCGCTCCGAGTCGCCCAAGATCCTCAAGATGGCCGAAGAGGCCTGCAAGACGCCACAAGAGACCCCCATAAGAGGCCCAAGAGGCAACAATCATTGATTGTCCTTGGGTTTTCAAAGATTTTGGTGTTCTCGCCTGTTCGGTTTTCCGGGGCTCCAAATGGACCAGGAAGCACCCAAAACCATCCCAAGACGGCCAGAGAGGCCTCCAAGAGGGTCCCAATACGGCCTGGGGACAGACGAGCATGGGAAAAACAAATACCAAATGACGGGCCCGATCGAAATACTGGGAAAAGACAGTATGGGTGGAAAAGCTAGATAGGGCAGGAGGTGCCAAGGAGGCGAGGAGAGGCTAACTCCCGCTCAAATGCTTCATGCTCTGGTGTCTCGCAAGGTCCGCGCGACTTACGCTGCCTCCACAAGAAAAGCGGTCCCGCACCACCACCGGAACACGCATCGAGACCGATGATGAAGTCTGTGCCTAGTCCAATGCTCGATATGGGCCCACATCTTGAAACAAGATCAAGGGTCAAGCCTTACCATGCACCCGGAAATCGCGGGCGCAAGGGAACCTCCTGGCGCGTCCCACCCACAAGCGTCGACGACGGCGACCTGGCCAGCAGTGGGTCTCGTAGTTTCCGATGCCAGCGCCAACTTCGACCACACGCGCTGCGAGGTTCAAGGTGGAGATACCACTGTCCAGACCAGCGTAGGCCTCCAGTCCTGCTCTACCGATGCTCACGAAATGGGAATTGATTCTCAAAGTTACTTCCCAAGCCATCGGCGATGCCGCCAGAGACGCAGACGCCGCCGTCGACTGGCTCAGCCCGCGCCTCGACGCGCCCGCTCCCTGCGACCGCGTGGGCGGCCGCCGAAGGCCACCAGAGCTGGGTCTTCACGGCGATGGAGACCTTGCGCGACGAGCCAACGTCGACGGGGTCGCACGAGGAGCCCCGCCCGGGCCACCAGACGGAGAACGCGCAGCCTGGCCCGACGTCGGGGGCCAGAAACTTCAAGACCCGCCAGAGGCGCCTGTTTGCAGCTGGGCTGTCGACCCTGGGCACGCGCAGCAGGCCTTGCACCTTCTCGATCTCGTCGCCAGGGACTGGGCCATGTGGGGTTGAACCAGATTCTGCCTGAATCTGGCGGCCTCTCCAAATTCAATGCGCGAGCAACCTGCGCGCGCGCCATCAACAAGATCCACGAGGCCAAGCGAACTCAAGCCATGAAATAGCTTGGACAACACGGTCATGGGCGACCTGGGCTCTGCCGCCTGCTTGAAAGCGCCGCTGGGAACAGTCGCCACCGTCATGTCCTCCTGCTCTTCGAAGTCCCCCTCCTCGTCGGACGCGTCGCCTCCTGAAAGACGCCCGGTGGCGTTTTTTGAGATCTCCTTGCGCTCTCAAATAACCATCGCGGCGGGGCTCTGTCCGCGCTCGCGAACGCCGGGTGCGGCCGTCTCGAAATGCAGGCAGAAAGCAAACTCAAATCTGGGGTTGCACAGACGTCCTCAGTTGCAGTGGCAACTTGCGAGACCGCCTTCGCCACGTCTGGGCAGAAACTCTCGCGCACGTCCGCCATCGCCGATGCGCATGTGGATGTTTGGAGACATTCCGCGAAATCTGTGAGGGGACCTCCAGCTTTCCCAATCGCAACCTGTAAATCCGAACCTCCGTTGCTCGCAGTGGCGTCCTCGCCCCAACCAATCTCATTTTCGTCTATCATCGTGACGTACAACTGCAGGGCCCCCCCTATCGAGATCCAGCGCCGGGCTCGACATCGCATGCAACACGAATCCGCTCGTGTAGATTACAAGTACGCCTTGATCTTCCTCCTTTTCCAGACGCGTCATGACACCATCCCAGAGAGAGCCCTTGCTTATGCTTCCAACGAGGGCCTCTGAAGCGTTGTCATTTGCACCAGCTGTGTTCTCCAGTCGCATAACGCCACCATCTTGCGTGACGAGGCAGCACGGCTCCAACGTTTCAGGTTTGCCGCAGTACTCATGGCACGCATCCGCGGGCCTCTCCGATGCGTTCCCGGCGCCCATCCAAGTCAGGAGATCCCCGTCAGCCACCGCGCGGAAGTGGCGATACATGATTCCAGATTCGTCGACCAAGTCCAAAAACTCAAAATGCAACTCCGTATTCACACCATTGTTGGCCGCGTCCTGCTCCGACGTCTGTGGCGCCATGTCCCCGCCGCTGGAATTGTAATAACAGCGCCCACCTGACATAGTATCCGTGAGCATATGGACCTCCACCAACTCCTGTAAGTCGCATACACTGACCTTGACTTGACCGGGAAGATGCGGCGTCCAGGTCTGCTGGATATGGTAACTAGGCGTTTTCAATACCTTCAATTCGGATTTCGCGAAGAGCGTCGCCTCAACGGCGCATCAACGCTGAGCGTTGCCTGGATGCGCGCAGACTTGGTCTCGGTGGCAAGCTGGTGTTTCTCTGGAAAGGTGTGCGCTCCAGGCGACGCGCCGCCATGCCTCGAGTTGCAAGGATCCAACGGACTGTCTGACGCACCAATACCGGCGCACGCTGTGTAAATGGTCAGAATTTGCGTGAACGTCTGAGGAAACGCGGGGAGAGGCACGTCCGTGTAGTCCCAGCCTTGGGACTACTCCATGCCCCCCCCAACGAAAGACCCAAATGCCAGCGTTCGCATGCGGCCACGGCACCCATTGTGGCATTCCCCTCACACGATTCGTGGCTCCATCGGGAGCCCCACCGAAGGCCCAAATGTCAGCGTCCGCATGCGGTCACCGCACCCATTTTGGTACACCCGTCACAAATTTTGAGGCTCCATAGGAAGCCCCACCGAAGGCCCAAGTGCCAGCGTTCGCATGCGGCCACCACACCCATTTTGGCACAACCTCACACGTTTCGTGGCTCCATAAAGAGCCCAACCGAAGGCCCAAATGCCAGCGTTCGCATGCGGCCACCGTGCCCATTTCGGCACACCCCTCACACGCTTCGTGGCCCCACACTGTGCGCCACCGAAGACTCGAGTGGCTGCGTTCGCATGCGGCCACCGCACCCATTTCGGCACACCCCTCACACGTTTCGTGGTCCATTAGGAAGCTTCACCGAAATACCCAAATGCCAGCGTTCGCATGCGCCCACCGCGCCCATTTCGGCACACCCCTCACACGCTTCGTGGCTCCATAGGGAGCCCCACCGAAGGCCCAAGTGCCAGCGTTCGCATGCAGCCACCGCACCCATTTTGGCACACCCCTCACACGCTTCGTGGCTCCATCGGGAGCCCCACTGAAGGCCCAAGTGCCAACGTTCGCTTGCGGCCACCGCACTCATTTTGGCACACCCCTCACATGTTTCGTGGCTCCACAGGGAGCCCCACCGAAAGACCCAATTGCCAGCGTTCGCATGCGGCCACCGCACCCATTTTGGTACACGCTCACACGTATAGTAGCCTCATAGGGAGCTCATCCGAATGCGATGCACACAACAACTGTATTCACAACTGCATCTGGTTAGGTCCTTCGCCAGGCTAATTTTGCGGGGAGGGACTCGTAGAAGGCCGCCGGGAGGGAGGTGGGTCGCGAGGGGGGGGAGTGGGCAGGAGCGGGACGGGAACTGATACTGCTTCTTGTTTTTGTTGGGGGGGGCCTCTTGGGATGCCGTCGGAAGGACGGTGGGCGGCGAGGGAGAGGGGGCGCAGGGGACGGAAGCGAGGGAGGGGGAGCACCGAAGAGGGGGAGCGCAGGCGTGGGGCAGTGCTGGGAGGAGCGAAGGGAAGGGGTGCGAAGAAGGGGGGCACGGAGTAGCGAGCCGTAGCGCTTCTCCGTCGCCGCCGCCGTCGTCGCCGTCGTCGTCCGTGCCCTTCCCGCCTTGTCGCGCTTGTCCGTTATCTCCGCCGCGTCGGCGTGGTCCTCCTCTTGCACGGCTCGCCGAGCCCCCCTGTCCGGGCGCGAGCGCGCGCGCACAGAGAGTACAGGGCGAAACAACCGCCCTCAGAACGAACACCTCTACAACTGAGGCCCTCTAATGAACGTCCCCCGCTACGGTATCGAACGGGACACGGCAGCTAGGTCAACGCACAAGCAGAAGACGGTTCAGTAAATGCCAATGACGGGGGTCGAGCTGTTTTCCCTCCACATGAGGGATGGCATGAGTCGCGCTGAGGGGAGCCGCGGGGGAGGAGATGAATGGGGGAAGCTCGCTCGCTCCTCGACGTCGCGGCTACTGATCCACAAGCGCGCAAGAAACAAAACCGGTGTTACAGCGCATGCGCCACGGCACCGCGAGGCACTGTGTGAAATGTCCTCAGGCCCCAACGAGTTCTCTATGTATATATGGGGCATTTAGACGACTTGAGCCTTGAACATACAATGTAAAACAGACCAGAGCGCCCAGCTCACGGATATCCTGGGGCTCGCCGCGCGCCGTTGGTGCGCCCGCTCGACCCTCCCCGAGGCCATTACTCTCAGCCCTTGAAAGGTGAACGTTCTCTTATTCGGCGTTTCGACAATGGGCGGAGGGGGGGGAGGGGGGGGTCTGGCTCCGGACCTATGCTTAGTGCAACTGTTTGCAACGGTGCAGCCTGCGGGGGAGACTCCACATGCTCGGAACAGGCGCCAAAAACAGCCAAGATCTACTCCACCGGGGTGGGAGGGGGGGCGAGGGCCCGCGCCGATCGGCAAAGCAATGAATAAATAGACGCTCCCAAACCGAACTGTGGTTCAATGCCCTCGGCCCCAGAGGGGGCGCCCGAACGGACCCCGGAAGCGGCACGGTGGCGGGGGTCCGAAGGCCACCGCACAGCGTGTCGCTGAGCGTGTCGGCGGAGCTCTCTGCCTCTCGCCAATGCCACGACACGAGCGCGCGGTGCTGGCTCCGCCAGGGTCGGCGCGTGCGCGAGGAACGATATCAGGCACAAACGGACCCCTAGCCCTTTGGGAGGCGACCTGAGTTAGTGAGCGCTTTTCCGAACCATCCTGTGGCATTGGGTCCTCGTTTTGAAGAGACGGTCCCCGCGTTCTCCTCCTACTTCCTCCCGCCTCCTCCCCCTCCTCCCTCCTCCCCCCCCTTCCTCCCTGCGTTTCACCCACCCAGGACAGCGGAAGGCCCCAGTGGCAGGGTTCGCATGGCGGCCCCGCGTTTTGGCGCATCCCTCACACGATTCGTGGCCCCATAGGGAGCTCCACCGAAGGCCCCGGTGGCAGGGTTCGCATGGCGGCCCCGCCCCATTTTGGCGCACACCTGGCACGGTTCGTGGCCCCACAGGGAGCTAGACCGAAGGACCCAGTGGCAGGGTTCGCATGGCGGCCCCGCCCTCATTTTGGCGCACCCCTCACACGGTTCGTGGCCCCATGGGGAGTTCCACCGAAGGCCCCAGTTGCAGAATTCGCATGGCGGCCCCGCCTCATTTTGGCGCACCTCTTACACAGTTCGTGGCCCCACACGGGGCTCCACCGAATGCCCCAGTGGCAGGGTTCGCATGGCGGCCCCGCCTCATTTTGGCGCACCCCTCACACGGTTCGTGGCCCCATAGGGAGCTCCACCGAAGGCCCCAGTGGCAGGGTTCGCATGGCGGCCCCGCCCCATTTTAGCGCACCCCTCACATGGTTCGTGGCCCCACAAGGAGCTCCACCGAAAGCCCCAGTGGCAGGATTCGCATGGGGGATCAGCTCCATTGTGGCGCATCCCTCACACTGTTCGTGGCCCCACATGGGGGCTCCACCGAAGCCCCCGGTGGCAGGGTTCCCATGGCGGCCCCGTCCCATTTTGGCGCACCCTCACATGGTTCGTGGCCCCACAAGGAGCTCCACCGAAAGCCGCGGCCCAGTTCCAGTGTGGCGCATCCCTCACACGGTTCGTGGCCCCACAGGGTGCTCCACCGAAGGCCCCAGTGGCAGGGTTCGCATGGCGGCCCCGCCCCATTCTGGCGCACCCATCACACGGTTCGTGGCCCCACACGGGGCTCCACCGAAGGCCCCAGTGGCAGGGTTCGCATGGCGGCCCCGCCCCATTGTGGCGCACCTCTCACACGGTTCGTGGCCCCATTGGGAATTCCGTTGCTTCTTCCCACCTGCCCTGCGGTTCTCACACTTGCGTATGGTTGGGTCCTTCGCCAGGATTATTTGTTATTTTGACGTTTCGACATTGGGCGGAAGGGGTGGGTGGGTCTGGCTCCGGACCTCTGCTTAATGCGACTGTTTTTTGGAACCGTGCGTCCTACGGGGGAGACTCCACCTGCTCGACACAGGCGCCAAAAAGGAGCCAAGATCTACTCCACGGGGGGGATGTGGGGGGTGCGAGGCGATCGCCGATCGGCAGAACAATGAAGAACAAAAACGACCTCTTAGTAAGGCCAAAAGCTGTAGGGATAAGGGGGTCTTATTTTTGTGCAGGTGTATCGCACCAAGCCGCCCAGATTTCGGATTCCTGATGCAAAGGCGGGGACATCAGCTGAGGCCACGTCTTCACTGTGCTATCAAGATTAGGGGTTCTTTCACCCTCGAAGGGCGACAACGTATAGCGACGACTTGGGGAAGCACGATGATGTAGGTTTAGGTCGGGCGTGTCCTCCTACAGGCGGATCTTGGGCGAAACATTGAAACTAGTCAAAAAGTATTCGAGCAAATGGGAAGTAATCAAAACATCGTCCCCCTACTACGCATTGACTATTTGGGAATCCTCCTCCTGCAGAGGGACACGCCCGATGTAGATGTACAGGAGAAGGGAGGAGACGGCCCAAACCGGTGGTGGTTGTGGACTGGCCGTGGGGGAGCCCGGCCCGCCCGGGGACAACGCCGTGCACCCCGTGGCGGCGGCGGGAGGATCGGCAGCGCGCACTGGGCAAGACGGAGCCGGGGCGAGGCCCAAATCGGGCGAGGGCACATCCACAAGGGCCCCGGGACACACGAAAAATAGATACAGGCACGAATCCTGGGGCTCCCCATGTTGTCCCCTGTCTTCGGACATTCGCCTTGCCCCCCCCCCGCTTCCCATCTTTTCTCCCATGTCTTTTCCTGAGAGTCGACGATTCGTTTTGTCTGCGTGTTTTTCCCCTCTGAGATCCAGCGGCCTGTGAGGACGTCTCGGGCGCCGCGGCCTTCTCAGTGCGTCCCAGAGCGCTCTGAGATCGTTCCGGGACGCTCTGGGACGGATTTAACCTCGTCCTGGCCCCGTCCGAACGAGGTTTCATGTTGTGTGTTTTCAAGAGCGCGGGAGGCGAACGACGACGACGACGACGACGACATCTAGGACGACAAGGACGAGGACGAGGACGAGGACGACGACAAAGCGCACCCGACGAAGACGACGCCGCCGCCGACGACGACAGACGTCGTCCGAAGGATCCGGGAGGTCGGCCTGAAGGCGTCCAGAGATGCTTGCACGGATGCCTGGAACGGAGACGCTCCCCAAAATCTGGACCCTCGATCCTCGAACGACGGCGGTCCGTCTCTCCTGAGGTTCCCACAGACCGGCCCCCGGGGGGGGGGGGCGCAAGAAGTTCCCGGGGGCCCCCCTGGAGGCACAAACGGTGCCAGACACCGCCAAACGCCTCGGCCGCCGAACCTGCGGCCTTGACGTCCTCGCGGTCTGGACTCTGGAGGCCGTGGATACGTATTGACCTCAAGCATCCGAGGATATCATTTTTTTGAATCGCGCGGCCCCACAGAGGTCCCGACCCCTTCCCCGAGGCAAATTTCTCGCCCTGGCCTCATTGCTCATGGCCCTGGGGACCGATAACGGGCCCTGGGGGTCCAAACCGAAGAAAACATGCAATGTGAACACAATTATTTAGTCGGAGATCGGGGTCTTCCACCCGCGGATCGACGAAGGCGGCTCGCTTTGGAGCGCATACTTGTACTATTCGCGAATCGTGACGTGACCACCCCTCTACCTCCCTCCCCCCTCCCTCCCCTTGGGCGCGAATCGTGACGTGACTGGCCCCACCGCCCCACCTCCCCCCCCTGGTCACGCCCGTTATCGCCAGGGGAAAAAACAACTGTTCCTTTCCGCCCACGGATCGACGACAACGGCTCGCTTTTTCCGCGTCGTCCACAACGGATGCCGGCCATCCGCTGCAGGAGCCGCTCAGCGGGGCCCCGCTCGTGCTCTTCCGAGGCGCCGTGCAGGGCCAGGGCGCTCCGACTGACCTTGCCAGGCGCCGCGGGGGGGGGGGGGGCGCTCGCGCAGGCAGCGGGGGGGGGAGGGTCAGGTCGGGCATCTGCGCAGCAATGCTTGCAATCAGCCTCGTCGTTGTCGTCATCGTCGTCGCCGTCCCCGCTCTCCCCCTTGCCCCTCCCATCCTCATCCCCCTCCCCTTCCTCCTCCTCCTCCTTCTCCTCCTCCTCCTTATCCTCATCCTACTACTACTGTTACTCCTCCTCCTCCTCCTTCTCCTCCTCCTCCTCCTCCTCCTCCTCCTACTCCTCCTATTCCTTCTCCTGCTCCTCTTCCTCCTCCTCGTCCTGGCAGACAGGATCAGATCATGCACCTGCGCCACACGATAGAGCTTACTTATCCCCTGGCGACAACGGGCTTGACTGGGAGGGGGAGAGGAGGGAGAGGAGGGAGAGGAGGAACGGGAGGGAGAGGGCCAGTCACGCCACGATTCGCGCCGTCTGGTCATGTTTCTAGGAATACTTCTCAGACGGCGCCGTCGCAAATCGTGACGTGACCAGGGGGGAGAAGGGGGGCGTTGCTGGTCACGAGCGCTGCAGCGAAGAATGCAAACATGAATAATAAAAATGTGTCCCTATAATGCTTGAAATAAACAACCACGTGAATTACGGAAAGACGGGGAGGGGTCTTTCGCACGATGACACGACGACTTTACCCGGTGGCTCACGAGGGCTGCCAGCGTGGCACGCCGCATGGAGGGAGAGGGGCGCTGACAGGCGAGATTGCACGGGAAACGTACGCGCAAGTGTGCCAATCTCAGCGCAGTGGGCCCCGTTTTCTTCTTTGTTGCTCACGTGCGAGCCCTACCCCCAGGGCACCGCAAACCGGGACACCGTTAACCAGGACTTTTGAAGAGTCCACCCGGAGAGGACGAAGAAAAGAGAATGCTTCGCCACGGCTGCAGCTTTCCCGGGCGCTACAGCGCCCCGGTTTTTTCAAGGTCCCCATCGAAAGGGGGCTCTTACTGCCCCTCAAGTTGGACTTCGGTCGGGCGTGTCCCCCCACAGGCGGATGTTGGAGGGAAAGTAAAATACAGTCAAACAATGCTCCAAGATAGTCAGAAACATACTCGAAACATCGTCCCCAGACTATTGTTTGACTACTTGAATATTCCTCACGTAGAGGGACATGCCCGAATTAAAGTTAGACATCTGAAGCCCCAACTGGGGTTCAGAGTTTGAAGGGTGTCTGCAGCAATATGAACCCCAGCGTCGGTTGGACCGCCGGTGGAGTAGGATTCGCAATGGGTCGCGGGAGAAGACGCACGCACGCACGCTTGATCCTCCGACGCGCTGATTGGTCACAGCCAGCGGGAGCGAATGTTTGCCAGGGACGCTGCGCAAGAGAATGTTCACTTTTGCGGGCACACGCGAACAATAGAACTCCCACTGTTCCCCTTCTGGCGATGAAGCAGCTCAGTCGCGATGATCAATATGAAGGGGCAGCGGACATATCAATCGCGACCCTGCATTGAGGACGACGTTCGAGAAGAAACGCGACAACGCAGGAGGCCCTCCAGCACGAGCCGTGCGCGTTCAAGGTGGGACAGGAAACGAGCGGCTACCTCAATCTTAGAACGAGGCCGTGAGCTGCAGCACAGTACAAAAACACGCGCACGGTTTCTTGGCCCCGCGGCCGCTCGCGCGGCGGCGCAGCGTGTGGACAGCCAGGTGGGCGGGAGCGCGCGGCCAGGCCAGCTCGAGCGGCGGGGGGGCCAGGGATCCGTCCATAGGAGGTCGACTGGGTCACTTGCGCGGGGACGCGATGGGACTGGGGAGGGGGGAGAGGGGGGGGGGGGGGGCGACTGGCGGGGAATGGAGGTGGAGTGCCGTGAGTGGGGCAAGAGAGGCGCAGTGCGGAAGCGCGGCGGCACACAGCCAGGCTGGAGTGGCGACAGGCAGACACCCCGACCAAGGCAGACGGTGTGCTGAGACAAGCGCCGGGGGGGGGGGGGCGACAACGCGCACGCACACACGCACGCACAGACAAGAAGCCGCTGCCCTCGCCAGCTCGGGTCGCGCGCACGCTGTCGGTCCAGTCGCGCGGGACGCGGCCGAGACAGACGGACGGAGAAACAGCCGGGTGAACTCTCGTGGGGAACTGTGGACCTCCGCGGCCCTATCATGAACCGTGAATTTGACCGTGAATTCGACCGGATTTCGTCCAGGTTTCGACCACCCCTCCTCACCCTTTCGTCCAGGTCTCGCCCAAGTGTCGTAAGGCCGTCGACCACATCCGACGGAGTCCGGACGGCATCCCCAAAACCGCAGGGAACTTTGGGACCCTCGGAGGCTCCCATTAGAAGAAAAACAGCATAAACATAAACTTTCGGAGGTCCGCGCGGATTTCTTGACCTGCGCGGACCCCCCCCTCCCTGGCGCGCTCCGCGCGCCAGGGGCGGCGCCGGAGGACCCGCTGGGGGTTCAGCGCCGATCCAGCAAATCCGCGCGGAGCGCCACAAGAGTATGTTGGTGGCGTTGTTTCTTCTTCGAACATCCGACGAAGCCTGGACGGAATCCCGTAAAATCGCAGGGACACCTTTGGAACCCTCGGAGGCTCCCATGAGAAACCCCACCAAAAAACAGGGACCCGGGCACGGAGAAGAAGGAGAGAAGACGCAGCCCACTCTGGCTCAGACACGTGCACGCGCACCTCTTCCTCAGACGCGCCAGCGAGGTCCCGCCATCGGTACTACCTAACATCGAGAGCAGGCAGCGGCAAGACAGTGATCCGCCGCCTCTGCGGAAGCGCGCAAAACCAGCGGGCCTCCACGAGAGCCGCACCTCAAACACACGCGCGCCCCCCCTCCCCACCCCCAATACGTCATTACACAAACGCGCGCGCACACACAAGCACACACACACACACGCACACACACGCGCGCACACACAAGCACACACACACACGCACGCGCGCACACACGCGCGCACACACACACACGCGCGCGCACACACACACGCGCACACACGGCCAGACTCACATACAGAGCGCGCGAACGCCGTGCGCTGGAGGTCCAGGCGTATCCAGGCATGCGCGGGCCGAGCGCCACGCAAAGTGGCGTGCGGCCACGTGCGTCCAGCCCTCGCCCTAGCCGGCCAGATCAATCGAGTCTGGCTTGCTCGGCGCCAGAGGGCAGAAAATCATGCTGCCCTGTGGGAATGAAGGGGAAGGTGGCGAACAAAACAGGACGGTGAGATGGATGGTTGTGTCTGGAGTGAGAGAAGGGGCCCCAGGAGGGAGAGGAAGGAGAGGGAGTGCGGGGGACGCCGGGATGACGGAGGAGGGTGTTGAGGATAGAGGCTGGGCGGGGCGGGTGGGCTGGAGGCCACGAGAGAGCAAGAGGCAGCACTGACAGTACCGGCAGGGGGTATTTGGGGGGCATGGGCATGAGAGGGCTCGGAAGGTACCCTCCTCCGCCCAGGGCACGACCGCCCGCGACCCGCGGGAGGCGGGAGCTCGCTCCGCGCACGGTGGGCGGGGGGGGCGAAGGAGGAGGAGGAGGAGGAGGAGGAGGAGGACGAGGAGGGAGGAGGGAGGAGGGAGGAGGGAGGATGGAAGGGGGAGGGACGAAAGGGAAGTTACGGCTATTACGACTGCGTCGGTTACAAAAAAGGTGCTATGGAGCATCGCGTCTGGCTTCGCTCTAAGCCTTGAAGCAGACCCCTCTGTGGATAAAACTGAGGTGCGATTTACGATTGCCAAGGGCTTTGCCTTGAACAATGCTGCCGTTAGGCAACAAAACTCCAGCAAATCCCGCAAAACCAAATCCCCAACCCAACATGAATATCTGAGAAGTGACTGCCGTGTGCCCACCCCCGCTGATATGCACCCCACACCCGTGATGGGGGCCCAGACATTGTACCATCGATTGGACGCAGATTAAAGCACGGTGGCGTCGCGCGGCAGGTGCCGCTGGAGGGTGCGTACCTCCCTGCGGGTGAGGTCCAATGGCGGGGCTTGTGCGCAGCTGGAGGGCGGCTCGGCCTGAGGGGGGCGGCGCCGGTGTCTGAGGTTAGGATTGGCTTGAGCCAAAAGGGCCACAGAATCACACATTCGTCGTCGATGTCATCCTCGTCGTCGTCGTCGTCGTCGGAAGAGGAGGAGGAGGAGGAGGAGGAGGAGGATTAGGAGGCGCTGCAGGAAGCGCAGGCGCAGCAAGGCGGGCTGGCAGCGGGAGCGGCGGCGGCGGCAGGCGCAAAGTGGGAGAGGAAGGGGAGGAGGCCCGGAGGAAAGAGAAGCAGATGCATGTGCACTGACCCTGGACTGGTCCGTCCCTGAGGATCGTTTAACCGATCCCCATGCCCAGCGGCGTGGCCTGGGCCCTACTGGCCGATTTACTCCCCTAGATGGGGATATAGGTCGCTCCCTTCGGCTTCAGAGGGGTGTATCCCCAACTGGGGTGGTAATTTGGTGGGGGTCTCGAATGGTATGGGGATGGGGATGGGCATGGGGATCGGTTAAACGATACCGAGTCCGGGGCCCAGGATCGGTGCATACGCCCTCCTGGCTCGGCGGCCAGGGAGGCATGCGCACCGAGCCGGGCCAGTATGGGCTCGGCCCAGGATCGGATGGAGCTGTGCTGTCACCAGCCGCTCCAATAATCCACAAGACACTGGGAATGATGAGGGTGATGTCAAGCTGGGCTTCCTGCTCTCGCGCGCCCGCGCTGGGCAAAAGCGCGGCTTCATCTCCGCGCGACCTCTCGCGAACCCCGTGACGCCTTGTTCGCCACCGATGATGGTGCTGGAGGTGATGGTTCAAAGAAGAGAAATCGCATACAGCCAGAGGCGCCGCCAAGGGACGTCCAGCACCGATATGGGGAAATCCGCGCGGAGCCTCGAAAGTCTATGTTTATGTCAAGTTTGATTATTCGCGGTGATGGTGATGATTATCCTCAAGGCGATTTGGCAAACCCGCCTGGGCAGTCTTGAAAAAAACGCCGACCTGACCACGGAGGGGTACGCGGCCGCTGGCAACCGGGCGGTCCTGCCAGCTCGCGACGCTGTGCGCACTGCCTCCGAGGAAAAATCGTGCTGGGCAAAG